CAAAAGGGGGGTCACGGGAACCCCGGGACCCCCTAGCTACGCCCCTGATTATTGTGCACTTATGGTCCTTGATCAGTGAACCTTGAACTGTTAAGATTAATTTAGTATATACATTGTAGTAAGACTTACTCAGTAGGACTGTTAGAGCGCCATAAGATGAGCAGTATCAAGGGGATCAACTGTTGCCTCGATCCATTGATCTGGTGAAAATGAATGCATGTGTTCTTCCTTTCAGCACGTTCTAAAAACAAACTGGATATTCTAAAATGCCGATATTTTGGCAATAATCGGCTTACTTTAGTGAAGTTCTTAAGTGTAGTCTAAAACCCATGAAGGCGCTGGCTAGCAAGATTCCAATGAGTAAATAAAAATTTAAACATTTACCGACTTCATTATTTCCTGTAAAGGTAATGCCGTTGGAAAGCAAATGAAACAAATTTTCTCGTAATTTTATTGGTGGCCCATTTTATTCTAGTTGATGTAAAACTCTTCCATCATTTCGATGGATTTCTACACCACTGGCACATAATTAAAGTACATGGACATTTCGAAATACCTTTCCCATGTACCTTCATGCACAACGCATGTAAAGTTCCACGCACCTTTTCATGTACCTTCATGAACCACACGTGTTAAGGTACATGGAAATTTCCATGTGCGATCGTGCACCACACGTGTCAAGGTGCATGCAAATTTCCATGCACCTTTCCATGTACATTCATGCACCACACGTGTAAAGGTACATGGAAATTTCCATGTACCTTTCCCATGTGCATTCATGCACCACACGTGTAAAGGTACATGGAAATTTCCATGCACCTTCATGCACCGCACATGTGTACAACACAATTTATGCACATAGAAATATCCATATACCTCCAGATGACACAGAAAGTGTACATGGAAATTTCTACACAGTCCTTTGACGATACTGCAATACAGCTATTTTTACGTTCCCTGTTATATGAACGCATCAGATGGTCCATTAACGCAATTTAGTTAGTGAGAGGGGGTAAAATTTTTCCACTGTATGAAATCTGTCCATTGATTTACTGATACACAAAACCCTGGCTTAGTAAGACAGCTCTCTTTGGAAGAAGCATTGACCTGGAAATGAGAAAAGAAACAACATGTGATTACATTGTTAAAAATGAACGGAAATCTCTGATTAAGTAAACGCTACGAAGAGTTTTGTAAGGAACAGTAACAGATAAAACATCCTCTCTTAAGCCCCCGGGCAGCTTGTTTGGCTTGTGTTACAATCTAAACATCTTCTTTAACTGTAATCGAACGAAAAACTCTATCTTCACAAACAAATTGAATATTTTCGTAACTTTCTAAAGGAATGATTGGAACTACAACGCTACATGTACACGTGTTCTTGGAAAATCAAAATGGCGCGCTTTTGTATATTGCATGATAAACACATCTACTTGGCACGTTCATGGCCTGCAACTGTTTTGTATATTCTACCCACTTAATTAATTTGCCCGTAGATTCTGTGTGATGGACTGCAGCATGATCACCGACAGTGTCCGTACTGACTTTTAATAGAATTTACTTGCTGGTACTTTCACGAAGTAATGTCTACCGCTCATAAATACCTGCTTGCTGACAGCTAATCAGACTACCGGTTCAGCCCACGTTCACTTACTGCGCTTCATGTATGCGATCTTATGCACTAATCTTGCGCTCTGGCCAGGAGGTCGCTCAAGTTCAGTGGTTATTTTTGACGTTACTCCGAACGAATCGAATTTCAGTCAACCTTTCTTTGTCTGTAGTCACAGGGTACATGGAAATTTCCATGTCTTTTCTTGAACGTGTTCACAAGTTACATGGAAATTTCCATGAATGTATAGTAGTACAAGTACATGGAAATTTCCATGTACCTTGCTTGTAGTAGTCACACGGTACATGGACATTTCATGTACCTTTTCTTGAACGTATTCATAAGTTACATGGAAATTTTCATGAATGTAGTCACAACTACATGGAAATTTACATGTACCTTTTCTTGTATGTAGTCATGCGGTATACAGACATATCCATGTACCTTTTCTTATTCGTAATAATACGGTACATGGAAATTTCCAGGTACCTTAATTTTTTTATAGTAGTCAAAAGGTACACGGAAATTTTCATGTTCCTTTAATTATTGTGTTTATGCCCAAGGTGCATGAAAATTTCCGTGTACTTTTTTGTACTCATGAGACCAATTGATCAGACTGATTCGAAACATCGCTGGCGATGATCCATAGTTTTGCAAATTCTTTCAATTTCAAACTTGACGTCGACATCTATGGTTCTTGGTTATCCGAAAAAGATAGCACAAATATTGTTTTGGCAAATAATCAACCTTAACCCTGAGTTCTTGCCTTCAGTTTTGATTTCACCACGGTAGAAAACTGGGTTTTTATCAATTCTTATAAGTTATTCTTGGTAAATATATTGGTGTTGTTTTATAACATTTGTGCCATAAATGCTGTTAAATGCTTTGCTCGTGGCAACTTAATTTGTTAGAGATTTGCTCTTTTTTGACAGCTGACGCATGGCCTTCGTTTGGCAACATTTATGTCGTTTACTTGAAAGTCGCACCTAACTAATTACCAAAGAGGTTAAGGCCAAATTGCCAAATTTGATTCGCAAATTGTATTTTAGAATTTCCCGTTTGTTTTTAGAACGTGTTTCTCTTTTCTTTTCACCGTCTCTGTGCCCTCACCGTCACCGGTTCCACTAATGGTCGTTCCTTCAGAAGGCTGCTGTAAGAAACGAAACAAAAACAATAGAAAAATTCCAGTTAGTATTGCGTGTAATAATATAATAATATAAGCAACAATTTCTGTATTCTGATTGGCTAACACATGTCAAGTAATCCCATTCTATTGAATCGATCTTTCAGTAAACGGGATTTATTTGGAGCTTGGGTTGCCTCGCCCTAAGAAAAGATAAGCATAATTCGTTACCAGGTCTAACAAATAGCAGGCATGGCCTCAAAACTGAGACAAAGGAAAAGCTCTATCCTACACTCCGTGAACCTTTCGTTTCTAACATAAAAAGGTTTTAGGGTTTCAAGCGCCCAGCTCGCTTCTTCCCATTTTGGTCGCACATCTTCATCTGCGAGTGGGGTTAACTGTTAATTTTATTACATTGCATGTGACTGACTAATCGGTCGAGTAAATTTTGTTTAAAGGTTAAAAAAAGTAAGCCCCATACCACTGTTGTTGCTTCTTCGGAAGACGGGGTCGTCGTTGTTTTATTTGCTGGCGTGGTCACCGGCGGAGGAGTTCCTGTTGCATCTAATCTTTCTGTTACCGGTGTTGGCAAGGTCGCCGCGGTTAATGCTGGTGATAGGGTCGGCCTAGGGTACGGGCCTAGAAATAAATGTAAGAAGACCGTGGAATAACGACAGAAACCTCTTAAATTCAAAATTACGACATGGTATAAAAGATCACTATTTTAGAAGTTGTCGTCTTCATCGTTTATCGATTCTC